TGACAGCACCATTGAATAAATAAACCTAGTTGGTGCCTCCCACAGCATTAAATTGAGAACAATGCAGTGTGGCTAGTGCTAATGTAAGAATTATAGCTAATTATTTAACATAATATGCCATTTGGCAAATTGGTGAACAGGGATAGAGCCAAGTTGACCTTGGTTCTTCCAAGACCAAGAGCAGTAAATTACTAAATCAAAACCATTTCTTGGTATCCAACTGATTATTGACTTAATATTACCAATATTTGGATTATTAAATGAAGCTGCACAGACCTTTGGAACAGACACCATATTGCCCTAAAGATTCTTTTAGTGGTTGAGTGCCTTTCGTTGCCTCTTCACCAGACTTCTCGAGACAAACAGCAGGAGTAACCCATTATAACCTGATTTGACTGAAGAAACAGATGTGGAAGCAAAAAATTAAAAAAATAAAAAAAATTAATGGCTGGGGTGGAAGATACAGTTGTGATAGGAAAGTAAGGGTGGGCTGGATGCCAAGAGCATATTTCTGAACCCTAAACCTCTCACACTGCTCAGCTGGAGGTTGCTGAGCCTCTTCCTTCCTGTCTTCAATCTGGATTTTTGTATTTAAGATAGGACATTTTGTATTTAAGATAGAACATTTTGGTTAGATTAATGTTACTGATGAGTTTCACACAGATTAACGTTGACCTTTATTAGGTAATAAAATTGTAGCAGTTGGTTGACATGCTATTAGTTGGATGTCAGCTAAAGCAAGTATGTGGAATTAACTAAGGCAAGAATGATTTCCATCTTTAAGGCAACAAAAATCAAATGTACAAGCGTAGACCTAAGAGAAGTGAGCAGCACAGACGCTGGTGTGGCAGTTGCTACGGCACAGGGAATGAGAGAAGGAGTCACAGAATGTACAAGACAAGTCGGCAGAGAGACGCTATAATGCTAACCAGCACGAGTGAAAAGTCTTTCTTTTTCATAATTGAATTATTACGAACACACTGTTCTGTGTTATCTTCGGATTTTAAAGCCCAAACCTGATCCATTTTGGGCCTAGCTTAGCGACAACACCTTTAGCAAGGTGCTGATTTTTTTCAAAGCAAATAGACATATATATATATCTCTTATCCAACAGAATATTCCTGAGTTTCTTTATCTGGATAACAGCCACCAGAGTTCTCCTTTGTTCTCTGTCGCATTGTTGTTTAACAATCCTGTGATGGGAGTGGATTCCAAGAAATGGTACAGCTGGGAAAAAAGTTAGAGAATGGTGACCAATCATTATGGTTGAAGTCTACTCGTCGGAAGTTTAAAGTGAGTTTTGACAATGTCTTCTTGTTCAAATCACTTATCAATAAAGCGAACAAGCACTGATTTCTGGGGCTCTGAGGGAACAAAGGGCATCTGGGGTAGCAGGTACACTTTACTGTTCCTTTGTACATCACAGTTGCTCAAATTACCTTCCCATAATGCACTGCCCTGTGATGTTGGTTACCAGGCTTTTATATAGCCGAAGTGGAGGGTCTTATTCTTGTTACTTTTTTTGTTCTTTGGGGGGCACAAAGCTTTGGAAAGCTCCATTTTTTTTTTTGAATGATTCCTGCTTTCCGATTAGGGCCTCAGCTGTGACCCTAATTACTCTCCTCTGTAGTCAGGTCACTTCCAAGCTGATCATTAAAAAAACAGTGCTGAGGGAACTTTAGAAGAAACCCACACTGCTACATTATGTTCCTGTGATTATGTCGAGGAGTGACATATGTTCAAATCCAAAATCAATATACATTTAGAGGTTGTGGAGAAAAAACAAGATAAACTCTAAAGTTTATATAGGTTAAAATTGTACAGTTCTCATCGTATGCTACATTTACAACCATGTGCAGGAAACTTCCTTTACATCAACATAGTCCTGACCCTGGTCCTCATCCAGCAGGCTTCAGATTCCTCTGTGGAAGCAAAAACTCTTAGTACCACTGTTTCATAACATAGTTTAGTAGTTTTCCAATGACGCTTCATTTCTTTAAGTTTTGCGGCAAAGCAAATCATTTCAAACGTGTTGAGGTCTGGACTTTGACCGGATCTATGCCTCAAACATCTCCTCCTACAGCTGCTGTTTCTGCTACATATTTCCAAATCATCATTCCGTCTCCGTCATAATGAAGAGCGGGTATGAGCTGTTGCTGCTGTCAGCTGTGACTGGTTGTCCTCAAGCATGGTCGTGCACATAATAAGTTAGTTCCACTTCTTAGACAGCAGATGTTGTTCTCCTCCAACTCTTCTTTAAAAAAAAAGACTTGTTCAGTGTTTTTGTGTTGGTAATATCAGGAGTTTTACTATGTAGGGTTTGCACTGAGAGTCAAGGATTTATTGAGCAACTGTCACAAAAAAAAAAAAAACATTCAGACTCTGAAAAACTGTTACTGAGGTTCTGGGTGCTTTTAAGCTAATGCAAACTGCTTCCACAGTTTAAAATATCTTGCTTAAAAGGCCAGCAATCAAGTCCAATTCAGAAGCCATCTTGTTTATATTAGGTATTTTTTATCGCTAATAACAAAAATGAATAGTTTTTCTTTGTCGTTTCATGTGAAACTACCAAAGCAAAATAATGTAAATGGCCATCAGCTAATCACAGTAACAGGAGTGTGTGGGCAATATCAACTCAATTCTTTATTTATTCTAAATGAAAACTGCCATAGAGAATATATGTTAGCTAAATGTAAAGTGAGAAACAAGGTAACAACGTATGTTTAATCTAATTCCAGCCTGTGTTTTGTTCATACATTTATACAGATCATTCATATTTTAATAGAAATAAGTAGCTGTCAACACGCCAGAGTAAAACATCTCCTCCTACAGTTAGCTCTCCAACAATGCAGTACTCTGAGACTCCTACAAAACAACGTAAATAATTAAAAGCCACACACTTCAGTTTGATCCACAGACCGAAGTTCCACTAAAAAATGAAACAGGTCATAAATGTTGAGCAAAACACAGCAGCTCATTTGCAAAAGCTTCTGGAAAGGTGTCTGTGGCAAAACCAGCTCCATCTGCCACTGCAGGTGGCCTCACACACATACACACGCAGGCAAACAGGCACACCAACTGGGCAGGTGAACAAATGATTACTGGTGCGAGATGTGCAAAGCAGAAAAAACATGGACGATTATGCTAGACAAACAGCAATTTTTCATGCGCGCTATCTTGATCTCCTTAAACACTCATTTATTCCCTGCTGAGAGTTTTTCTTCCCCATACAAGCACTCACTTTTGGTTTATTGATGTACCTTGTTGTACATTTTACACTCTTATTTCCTTCTTATAGATTTATTCCAAGCTTGTGCCTTTAAAATACCTTAAGTTCCTTTTTCAGACTCATTGCTGCTCCCACTAAAATCTCATTGTTGCTTTTTATAAATGTCAGGGAGAAATAAGAACCCAAAAATATGAAAATATTTCATTAAACCCATTACTATGAGTTAAAGTGAAGAAGTAACACTGCATAGACATATAACAAATAGTGTTTCTTTTTTTTTCTTTTTCTTTTTTTCTTTTGGAATACTAATTAAGTCACGAAACTATTTATTTAATGATGTTCTCCATTTAAATTTTGGCAGTGCTAGTCCTACTGAGAAATCGGGGTTTGGATCTATTTTCTGAAGAGAACCTGTTTGTTTCACATCTCTATCCTTCTTGTACACACAGGCTCACTTTATCTTTTAATCTCTGCTTTTCCTGATTTCCTCCGCTACAGTTTATACCCTAAGTACTTTATTTCATCACTTTTTAATATTTTGTGTAATTACTGCATAGTGATTTTGATTACAAAAAAGACATAACCAAACACATGAAATGATTCAAAAACAAAAACTTGCCTAATGTTGCAAGCAGTGGTCAACACAGATAGCGAAGACGAGAACTACAGCCAGAATAATGTAGCAATGTCTTACTAATTTTTTTTTTTTTAACGTCGTTTCATTTTCTGCTTTCTCCGTGTTTTGGGGACTTATTAATTTAATTGAAAAGCAATCATTGTGTGCTAATGTACACAGACAGTAGGGGTCAGATGGAGGAGCAGTGATATTTACATCATGTAAAGCCAATGAGCAGAAGTGAGCTGTTCTTAAATTGTCATAATGAATAAAAAGACCATAATCAGATCCACTGCAGAACAGCAGCGGTGTTAGGAGCGGAAAACGACAACAGCACTGTTATGGCGCTTGTGTGTCTCTATTTCCACTCACCCGTTTGTCTCTTCCTACTTCATGTTTAATGTTCGTTCCGGGAACAGGACGGATCGTTTCTGCCCGCAGACAAGCATGCCGCCCGTTTGACCGCTTGACGAGGATTGTTGGTGCACTGCTGAGCTAAAATTGGAAGGGACACTGCAAGCTGAGGGGCGCCGCTTCGGGGACATGACAGATACTGATTAGCTCATGTATTAACACTATTGTGTCATATCTGTTATGATCCCACAAAATGCTGCAGCACAACATTTTGACACTTTTCCAATACGACAAACATCCAAGAAACATTTTTGGGGATGCTGATGAAAAAAATCAAATCGCAACTCCTCCATAGATCACGTGCAACAGCAAAGTGGGTTTCATCATCTTGCAGTGTCATTCATCATGTGGTAGGGATGACCGTTTTCACCATTCAGCTCAAATGCTGTGAAATATTTGTTCTTGACATATTTATCTTTATTCGATTCATAAGATATGCAATAAATCTCCTTTTTGTTTGTTTGTCATCAGTTATATTTATGTCGATGCACAAAAATTTTGTTGTTTTCCATTTTGCATGTGGATGCTGTCAAACACATTCAAGAATACAAGGTTGCATGTCTCAACTTCGTGAACGGTTTGCTGTTAACACACTCGCATAACCGGAAATATTCTGTCCACTCACACATTCAACTCATTTAAATCCACACAAACGTGGAGGAAAATGGAGACAACTTGAAGACATCGACTTGTCTTCAAGAACACAGCATCTTCTAAAGAAAATTAAAGTGGAAGACCGACCTGCTGGATGAACGTGTGCGCCCCCTGCGGGCTGAGCAGAAGGATGGCTCTGCGCAACGTGTCCCGGTACCGATTCAGCTCCTCCGTCCTCATGGTGGTGAACAGGTTGGTGAAGACTTTACTGATGTTCCTATCCACCCTCTGTAACGCAACATCAACGCCCTGACGAGACGTCTGATCAAGGAAGCCCTGCAAGCCACGGATATCTGGGGAGACGACAAAGAGTCAACCAAATGAGAACGTCGTTAGAAGTGTCAACAAACTGCATAAAGAGAGAATCGAGGCAGTAAACAGCTTTTTTTTTTCTTCACAGGGAACATTTTACAGTGAACATGAGGTGTAAAAAGAAGAAAAAAAAATCAATATCAATATCAAAAACTTATGAGCCCAGAAGCGAGTCAGAAAGCTGTTCATATCTCAAGACAATCTTTACATTCACATTTTAAAACTTAATATGGGGGTATGACAAAGGTCTTGGCCTTGTTATAAAAAAAACAAATCCTCTATACACATATAATTGAAAATAAAAACATACATTCAGTGCAATGCAAACCGCAGCAGAACACCGTTCCTGCCAGCAGCCATCACAATCTTCAATAACTCTGTGAAGAATCTAAATGAATGAGTTACAACTTTTGATTTCCCTCTGGGATTAATAAGTTATATTTGAACTGACTTTGAATTTGAATAAGACTTGTGTGGTAAGGTTCGGAATAGCCAACCCAACATGAGGATGACCAGTATCTCTCTAATGGTATTTTTTCAAACCCAGCCTTGAACATTAGCTATCAACCCATTGAAATTGTGACAACTGACCACAATCCATGCAACTGCAGTTTTGTGAATTAGCAGCATTTACTGAATTGACTGTGACTCACTGAACCGGCCCACGGCCAGCGAAAAAACAGACGACTCAAAGAAAAACCGACTCGTAGAAAAGCGACTCTTGTTTTTGTAGCTATTGAAGGTGACTGAACCCCTGAGAAAGCATCTGTTCAATCTCTACACTATCTGTGTCTGAACATGACAGCATCCCTTCTTTTTTTTTTTTTGGAGGCATCTTTCAAACTCTTTCTCAGATACATTTCTTTCTCATTCTGCTCAAAAAATGGCAGCTGAGCTGGTTTTTGTACTGTTGGAGAAGCTGACAGGTTGTTTGGCCTGAATATCTCTCACTTTTTGTAGCCTCCCTCCATCTTTCTTAGTCTATTAGCACTGACAGCCGGCTTGTTCCAAGCACCCACTGCCATACTATACTGCTGAAAACCTTTTTTTTTTTCTTCTTTTTTCAGCTGGGTCATTTCATCTACCCTGCTCCACCCTCCCCACATCGCCAGCCCGACAATAACCACCATTTCTGTTCTCCCTTAAATTTTCTTTCCATCGATCCAACTGTCACTCAAAGCCTGCCTCCCACTCCTTCCCAGAAAATCGGCAGGGACGTTTACTCCCGGAGAACAAACGAGAAACTGTTTTATGAAATTTGAAAGTGGGCCCAGTGACTCACCCTTCCCCGCTGATTACAAAGGCAATACCTGAAGGCAGGCCCTGTGGAAAGCAATATTTTATCTAACTTTAGAACTTTTATATCTCTTATCCAATAAGCGGTTCAACATTCTATATAAACAAAGCAAAGCAAAACATTCATTTGCCCTCTTATGAGAAGAAATAACCCAAAATAAGAAAATAAGCATAACATTTTTCCCTTAGCAGCAACGTGTTGAAAGGTAAAGCACTCAGTGGAATCAGATAGTTTGCTTCCACAGCCTAAATCAACATACTGCAACTAATTCAGCACTCAGAGTTTCTGTCTTCACTTCCCCCCCCCAAAAAAAGAATTGCTGCTGAAAAGAGAGAAAGAACAAAATATAGCCGCCCTTTTCTTGAGCTCAAGCACTGGAACACCACAAGTGGAGCGCCTTGAAAGCAATTTAAAGAGCTGCTGCTCGTCAGCCACAGTTCAATTTCTCTTCGGCCACTTTGAGCAAGGCACAGTGGGGGAGGCGGGGGAACGCGCTGCTCTCCCAGCAGAAATGCCAACACTTATCTCTGCTCATCAGCGTCCCGCTGACCTCTCCCGGCTGAAGACCCAGCTGAAGACCCGGAGCAGGTGAACCTTTGGCCGCGAGATTCAATTTGAATTCACACGACACAACTGTTGTCGTTCACGTACAATGCAAGTATCTTAAAGGCCAGTGGTGCCTAATATTTGCATCATGTCCGGATGCAGCAAACATTGCTGATATTTGCAAGCCCTGCAGAAGGAATGTCGATACATTTTTCAGCATGAATTTTTATCAGGCGGGAATCCTTGCCAGCTGAGGTTGAAAGGCCCTAAGGCTTTAAGAGACAAGAAGAAAAAAAAATCTTGGAAACCAAAGCTTGTTAAGTTTTCCCTAACATAATTTCATCAAGTAAATATTTATAGAAGAGCGTAAATTGCATCTCTTTTTTGTTGCTTTTTTTTTTCTGATCACACCAAATTCTAGCGACTGTTCGTGCAACCTTATGTAACATGCCAAATAAGCAGATGTTTGTGTTTCTCTAGCAAAAATCTGATTAAATCAATGGCTGCCTGGACAGAGACTAAAATTACACACACAATCGTTAAACTCCAAGGGTGAAAATAACCTTAATTTGTTGCAGAAAAAAGTTTGCTGCAGACCAAACAACCAGAAATGTACTCTTTTTCAGCTTATTTTTATTGTGTTTTTTTTTTACAACTAAATTATTTACGAGGACTTTTTGATGGAAAAACTGGTATCGTTTGGGATGAATGTTTTTAACGTAAAAAATCTGTCTGCATTTCCCTAAATCACGTGTCAAACTGTAGGCCTAATCTGGCCTGCAGTAGCTTGTTATGTGGCTCTCTAGCCTCCCCATTGCACCAATAAGTCCCTACACTTTTTGAAAAATTCATACCACATTCACACAAAAATATCTAATTTTTTTCTCAGATTTTACTGCAATTTGTTTTTTTCCGCAAATTTGGCCAAAAACATATTGTGTAAGTGTCTGCTGCCTCAGCTTTACTTGACATCAACACGTAGCACATGATGGATACGGCGATATTTGTAAAGCAACCTTACAAATATTTCTAATTTAGCACCACAAAAACAATCAAGACTTTCTGGACAGACTGAAAAGGTGTTCAATTATTATTTCATCTGAAGGAACACTTATGGAATACTAAAACCAGCAAATACTTATCAATATTTTACCATCAATATATACCGGCAGAACTGGCCCTTTAAGAACATTGAGATTTTTGATATGGCCCAAAAAGAAAACGAGTTTGATGCCTCTGCATGTCTGAATCTGTTGGATAAGGGTAGCTATTTTCACTTTTCTAATAGATGCTTGGTTGAGGTTTAAAAAAAAAACAGCCGGTGACATCATCCCCTTTTACTGTGATGCCAAATATATTAAGATCTGTAGTTGAATGTGTCTACTTGCTAGCCAGGCTCAACAGACTGTGGACCCTGTTAATTAACTGTACGGCTGTGAAAATGCTGGAAGGAACAAAGTGAGGGCAGAGAGATGAGAAGACAGAAGAAACACGGGGAATGAAAGGATGAAAAGGATGAGTGGTGGGTGTATTAGGAGGAATAATTGAGCCTTCTTATCTGCACAGGCAATGACAGGTGTGACATTTTAGCTTTGGAAAGCCTCTCTGTATTGGATATCCATAGAACACACACAGGAAATCATTTTTCTGTCTGGTGTGGCCACTTTTGCAGCACTTGTGAGGAATCATTTTAAAATTAAACATCTCTCGACTTCAATTTATTCCCAACCTTCATCTACTATAAAAATGGACAGAGTTTTCACCAGCTTTAAAATGAAATGCTGTGGTTTTCCACATCTTGAGAGCAAGTTCGGTGTCGTATTCCACCACCTAAATTTTCTCTTTACACTCACTGGTGACTTTGTGTTAGGTAGACTCAAAGTCAATCCTAAAGGTTCAGCAAACTGAATTATATAGTCGGTGGTAGAATCACCTAATTTAATCCTGTTGTAACAGATTTGGCCAAAACCAAATCTGTTACTACAGATTTGGTTTTTAAATGACCTTTAAATATTCAAAGTTGATTTGGGGCCTGAAGAGAAAATGTGAAATTTGTCCAAAAATCTGTGTTTTCAGATTTTTGCATCTGAAAACACAGATTCAAAACTCTGTGTTTTTGAATGTTTGCATGGATTTCTGATCAGTATTAACCAGTAAAAGAGCTGCTTGTAGATTATGACACACAGAGATTTATTTATTTCAGGAAGATGTCATTTCATAAATTATGACTATGATCATTTTCAGCGTCAGAAACCAGAAGTCAACACATTACGTCAGTCACACTGTCCTACTTAAACTCTGCAAAGGGTCAATATTAAAATACTAAAAATACAGCAATGTTGGGCTGTTTTACATCCTAATAATGAAGGAAAGAATGGAAAAATGACTTGAGTGATCCTTGTCATGAATTATTCCATGAATAATTCCATTTCATTGTACATAATTTAACTTACTGACTAATTTCCTTTAACTTCTTTAAATGTGTGGATTAATTATGTTGTTAGCAATATTTGGTGTAAATGTCATTTCAACAGCTGCATTAGAAATACTTTTTTACCAGAAGAACAACACTGGTGTGTTCAGTACTTGCTCTATCCCGACTGCAACCAGTGTTTTATGGATAATTTATTTCCGGGGCAACCTTTAGAACATGTAGCTGCTTGTTTCCAAATCATTAGCATTCCTCACCATGAAAAATAGACTCTCCCATATTTTCTCTAAAAAAAGGTGCAAATAAAACAGCGTTCCTGCAACCACTGGATTTATTGTTATTTACCTTCACAGAGATATATTTCTTTATTACTGTTAGCCACCTCTGCTTTCCACAGAGGAAACTATTCCCTCTTGACAATAAGGAAACATTCCAACCTAAAAACTCTTCCATAAGAAGCCTTCAGCTTCTTATGGAAGAATAATGATGTAGACGTTGGTACAGACTCATGCTTTCCTTGGTTTCAGCTCAGAGAAGTGATTTTTATTTATTTTTTCTCTGACAGTAACATTTTCAATCTACAGTTGGCCACTGAGATCTGCATTAAAGCTGATACTATGGTGGTAGCTTTAGGGCCTATAAATTCACTCTTCTAACACACACACACACATTCACACACACACACAAAAACAAAATGAGTGATGTGA